GGAAGACTCCATATTTTCATCTCAGAGCAAGTATGCCAAGAATATAGTGAAGAACTTTGGGATGGAGAATCCAAGTCAAAAAAGAACCCCTGCTCCCACACATTTGAAGTTGACTAAAGATGAAAAAGGAGTAAGTGTAGATCAAAGTCTCTACAAAGGCATGATAGGTACTCTTCTATATCTCACGGCTAGCACACCAGACACTGCCTTTGCTATAGGAGTGTGTGAAAGATATCAGACTGGTCCCAAAGTTAGCCATGCCAACCATGTAAAGAGGATTCTCAAATATGTGAATGGGACAAGTGACTATGGTATGATGTACTCTCATGGATCAAATTCTGCCTTAATTGGCTTTTGTGATGCTGATTGGGTAGAGAGTGCTGATGATAGAAAGAGTACATCAGGAGGATGCTTCTTTCTGGGAAATAACCTCATATCTTGGTTCAACAAGAAGCTAAATTGTATGTCTATATCCACTGCTGAGGTTGAGAACATTATTGTAGGATGCAGTTGTTCTCAATTGGTTTGGATGAAACAAATGTTAACATAATACAATGTCAAACAAGATGTCATGACATTATTCTGTGACAATTTAAGCGCCATAAACATTTCAAAAAATCTTATTCAACATAGCAGGACCAAGCATATTGACATTCATCATCACATCATAAGAGAGCTTGTTGAAGAAAAGATTGTGGCCTTAGAACATGTAGCCACTGAATTGCAATTGGATGACATCTTCACAAACGCTTTGGATGCTAATCAATTTGAGAATTTAAGAGGAAAATTAGGGATATGTTTATATAAGGGTTTGTAGCAATTAAAAGTGTGTGGGAATATCATTAAAGTAATATTGTATTGTTTGTGTTTCCAACAAATAAATTTTAGAAAACAATCATTACAAGACTGCCTAAAATTGTTTCCCACACGCTAATACATCTCTTTTCTCTTCTTTCACAAACCCTTCATTCTCCTCAACAAAAGAAGAACCATTGACATTCCTCATCTCCTTGCCAGAAATTTCTAAAACATTTCTCAACATCACATATCATCTTCCTCAAAATCCGCAAATGAAAATCTTTCAATTGATAGAGTACTAGATGTTACTCCTCAATCAACGATCCCTCCGCTTGATAAAAAGGTCAAGAAACCTAGATAATCACCAGCTAAGAAATCTAAAGATGATAAAGGTAACTCCTTTTCTGGTATTGACAATAGAAATGAAGAAGAAATTGTCAATATTGATAGAAGCATCAGAAGGCTTATGGACAGAGTTTTAAATGAAGGATTTGTTGTGTCTGGGATTTCAACTCCCCTTGCTCGCATGCCCCCTCCAATTGAAAAATGAAGTAATCATAAGAATGATGTTGCTGAACCATCCAAAAATGATGCTACTGAATCATCCAAGAATGATGTTACTGATAGAAAACTTGCGAAGCCTGCTACCTCTTCCCTAAAAGATGTGGAAGAAGAAAATGTTGATCAAAATGTTGAAGAAAATGTTGCTTCCTCCAAGGATGGAGAATGTCACAATGCTATGAATGTAGTCAATGCTGAAGATCACTATGATAATGAGCTCATCTCTAATGTTGTACGTGGTATCGCAAGAAGGCTAAAGTCTAGGAAAGTGAAAGAAGCAAGTGTCACACCCCTCCCAAAACAGACAAGAAGAAAATCATGTATGGACCCCAAAAGTAGGAAGTAAAGTGGTCCCTCAGTCATACCCCAATTTTTGACCTAAGATCCCATCTTCATTTGCATTGTTTTATATATACATCAAGGTCACGAAATATGGTCGATTTTGAATGTCTCACCTTCGAGCATTTACCTGTGCAGAGATTATCGAGTGTTGTGGGCATTTTATCTTATGAATGACTAACCACTGATCAAGAACGAAGTGTATGTTTTGTTTTCTGATTTCATGTGCAGGAAATAGGTCCGGAAGAAGAGCATCAGACGTCACACCTCAATTATGGTTTCGAATCTCAAGATAGAAACGTGGTCGATCGTTTATTATCAAAGACTGGTTCATCAAAATAACTTTCAGAGAATATTTTTTTTATTTCCATGCTCTGCCCAACCGATGGCTTCAAGTGTCTCTGAAATTCTTTAGAAAAAACTGTCAAAATTCTATTGTCATTGGTTCATGTGTGTTTCACATTGCCTTGAAATACAAGAATAATCAAGCTATGCAAGCCAATTCCGACCTCTTCGACCAAAAGTCATCTACAAGATTTTTTCATGACACAGAGTGAATTTCATTAAAAATGGGATGATTAAATTCAAGACCGTTATGGAAGAATTTAGTCAGAATACTTGGAATTTTCTTTATTTGAATTCAAGTGTTAATAAAAGCTACCAAGAGATCCCATTCAAGAATAATCATTCGCCACATTAGATATTTATTCAAGATTATTTGGTGTGATTATTTTGGTGGGTTACATCATGACTATTTGAATTCACATAAAGCATTTATTCAAGAAGATGTTGGAAAAAGAAATTTGATTCAAACTTGTCATTCATGACAAGAATAAATACATGATGGGCACAAGATTAATTCATGTAGTTTATTTGAATCTCTAATACAAAATGCAAGATTCAAGTCTTAAGGATTGCTTTTTTGGTTCATTCATCATTCAACAATACATTCAAGTATCAATCAACTATTTTCCAAATCCAAATGGAAGACTTTGAATTTTATCAAGACATATCAAAATTCAAAGTTGTTTACAATTATAAGGGAATTGAGATTTATATTGAAGAATAAATACCCATTGATGTTACAATTTATTTGGATTAATCATTACAGAGTTACAAAAGTAATTAAAGTTTGTACATGAAAATCAAGCTATTATTTCATGCTCCAATAGCAGCCCCAATGCTGCCCATTTTTCCAAGCACTGTTTTAATACAATAACACTCCAATTCTTGGGTATTTTGTTGTCCAAAAACTATAGTAGAAAACAGTCCTAATGTTGTTCTTTTTCTCCAGCCTTGTTCAACATAAACCAGTCCATTTTATGGTATTTTTCTATCAAAAAAACTGATGTAAGACAGTCCTAAATGCAGCCCATAAGACAAAAAAAACTGCACCTTTGCTGCTACAAAACTTGTCAAAAACCAGTCTATAAAATTCCAATCATTGCACTAAAATGTACACATCAAAAAGTTGTCTCATAAAACATCAAAATAGAGCCTAAAACAGTTCAAATCTCTACTATTCCCCCCCCCCCCCCCCCCCCTAAAACCCCACATATTTCACTATAAATAAAGGCATCCATCAACAGAAAAAGGGAAGAAATATCAGAAAAACACACACAGAAAATTCAAAAGAGAAGAACAACAAAAAAACTCAGTAGAGAGAAAAAGTCAGAAGAACATAGTAAATTCAAGGAGAGAAACTTATTCTCTTTTGGAAGCCCCGTCGGAGAGGTTCCGATAGGTATTTTTTTCTTCTTTCCCTCTATCTACTTATGCATATATTCATGTTTGAATCATCTTCTGTGCCATTTTTTTTCTGCCATATGATGCTTGCCTTATCATACTTTCTTTGCTGTATTTTCTTTGAGTTGCTGTATTTTGTTAGCATTTAAATTTTTTAGAATTCATAATAATAATAATAATGCGGATGAAACGTTCGGTAATAACAATACCATATTTATCAGCCTCTTTCAACCTTTCTTTGATTTCTTTGGCCAACTCAAACACTTCCAATATCTATTTGTCATATATATAAACCAATTGTTATTAGTTATTACAACCTGCAAGTATCAACCAGAAAGTACTTCAGCAAAAGAAAAAAAAACAGATTTGAAAATATTAGAACAATAGTAATAATGAACGCAAATGGTCGTGCCACCACATCCGGATACTCCCTCTGTTCGTCTCGAGCAACTAAAACAATAATAAAAAAAAAGGTACTAAGCATTTCGGTAAGAAGAAAACCTATAAACTTTATCTCACTCACCAGATCACACTGAAGAGCCTCAGTAACGACATTTTTTCATCTCTTTCAGATACTCTTCCTCCGATTATTCACTAGAAATCCTTGGAATTTAGGGACGTTTTACATTTGGGTGTCTGTTGCAAAAAGAACTGTTGACTAATTATAGATGGCGCCCAATCTGAAAGTTGTAGCAGCCTATCATGCAATGACAAGTCTTGGGATTTCTAAATCGCAAGTGAAACCCGTGTTAAAGAAACTTCTCAAATTATATGATAAAAATGGGGAACTTATTGAGGAAGGGAGGTACAGAGCTCTTGCAGATTATATTTGAAGGTGATGCTTCTGAGGAGCCAGAACATCCAAAGAAAAACCAGAGAGTTCATAGAAAAAGGCAGAGGCTAAAGAAGCTCTTATAAATGTTTAACATGTTCAATATTGAAAAAGTTTGAGATTAAGAGGATAAGAGAACAATTCCACTAGTTTAGCTCCTTCCCCTTCAAAGAAGCCTCGTATTGAAAAGGCCACAGCACCTGCAGCCAGAGATTATAACAATGAAATGTAACATGTTAAAATCCACAAAACAGAATATCAAATTTTCTCCAAGATAAATAACCTTAATAAACACAAGAAAATGCAAAACTGTACAAGGGCCACCTGCTTCCTTCCTTCTTTCATGCTAATTTCTCCATGTTCAAAATTTTTTCTCTGTTTTTTTTTGTTTTCAGCTTATCAACAAAAACAACACTTTTATCTCCCTGTTCTGTTTTCTCCTTTTATGCTAAATTCAATCCTCTGTTTCTATGGCTTCGACAATGAAATTCTTCTGCTTCTAATTTCTTTTTATCGGTTCTAATATTATCCTTTGTCTAGAACGTATAACAGTAACAACAAAATCCCTCTTCTTCTCTCCTTCAATCGTTCGAATAAACAACAAAATATAACAACCCATCAAGGTTACATCCCTCCATTTTTCTTCAAATATCAACAACATCCAACTAACCACACCCAACTTCCACGGCTCAATCAACTCAACAAACTCAACAACTTTGTTTTTATGATAAAAACCATTTTACCTAGCCCAAAGACCCCGACTATCTGTTCTGCCGCTCACCCTCCCTCTATTACATTTCCGCCCAACACCACACTTCCTCTGCTATTCTCTGTAAGACAACCTCAACAACCTCCACTTCGATTTCACTCTATCACCACCACCTTCATGAATCCAACAACAACAACTGAAACTGAGGAAGCACCAGTGCTTTTACATCTACTGAGATCACCAATATTTTTTTTTGATGTAAACACTGATCGTTTTGAAGAGGCTCTTGATAGATTTGCTCAATTATTTACTAAACCATTGATGTCCGATGATGCCACCGGGTCTACTGATTCTACCGCACAAGGCAGCATGACAGGGCCGGAACATGAAGCTTCAATTGGTGGTAATAATAAAAAATTTCTCAGAACAATATGATATTGAAGAAGTCATTAATAACATAAAAGATGCAGGATGCAGTTTTCGTACTTATGAGATGAAGTTTTCGTTGTAAAGGGAGTTGTGATTATTTTGTGAACATAATAAGAGTTTTTAATATTATTAATCTATTTTTCTCTTCCCCAGACCAACAAACCATGCGACGCCTCTCTCATCACCCTTAGGGTTTCACGATTTTCTTCCTTTATTTCTCCCAACCGGGTCAACCTATTGGGATACTGACCCAATTTCCTCTATCCGTTTTCACCTTTTTTCCTAATTAAATCATAATAATAAATGAATAACAATCTAGTATAGTTGGCAAAGCATAACATTTATAACTTTAAAGACCTGAGCTCGAACCTTGTTGGGACATTTTTCTATTCTTTTGATATTCTAAGCTTTATCTTTCAATTCCATTAAATTTGTTTATATATATTAGTTTAGTTTGTTACATAATTATTATTTCGTTACAAAACATAAAAAACATGTTATTATAAATTTATCTTTTATTTAATTTTTGTCAACATGCTATTGATCTTTTATTTAGTTTTTGCTATTTATTTAATTATTCAAATACATGCTTATAAACTAATCTTTTATTTAATTTTTGTTTTAAAATGCATGCTAGTATAACTTAATTTTCTTTATTTATTTAATTGTTCAATTGTCGCTATAATTAACTTTATTCTTGATCGTTTAATATTTATCTTTTGTCCGTCTCAAATCCAAGGGAAATATTTTGTTAACTTCATAAGTAATACGATCGTGCGAATCTGAAATATTTTGTTAACTTCATAAGAAATATTTTGTTAACTTCAAAAGAAATATTTCGAACTCACACCTTTTAAGCCAAAATTTCGACACTAGGTTGTCGTATCTTCAAAGTCTCGTCCAAACAAACCATTTTTTAGCTAGACAAACCATTTTAATCAAACAAACAATTTTAAACCAAAAACAAATATTTCAAAAAGGTTCCTGTGGAGTACCCCAGATGCATTGGGTGCTAATACCTTCCCATTGCATAACCAACTCCCAAACTCTCGATCTCTTTCAAAAAACTCATTGTATTTTCATTACTTTTAAGTATTATTTTACATTGCATATTTTAGGGTTTTATTTCTCTCTTTTCCCATTTACCTTGTAAATAATAAAGCGCGGTGGCGACTCTTCTTATCGAGTTAATTAATAGCTTGATCTCTGATTTATCCCGCTACATTTCTTATTACTACAAAATTGGCGACTCTGGTTGAGAAAGATTGACCTCTTGCTGGTCCATCCCTAAGTGGGTTAAGCCTAGTTTGTCTTATCTATTTTATTATTATTTGATTGTTCGATTGTATGTATATATTGTGGTTATTTGGGTGTTAATGATGTTTACAAAGGACAAGTCCTATACCCGAACTAAGTTACACTTAAGAATAGGACGAGCGGTATAGTCATGTTAACTTTGAGGGAGTAATCCCGAAAAAGGAGACATGAAATCCCCCACTCGATGGAAGCCCTTTTGAATGTAGTATTTGTTTATCGAGTAATCGGGAAGCCATTATTGCTTTCAACTTGGGAGCTAGAGAAGCTAAGTACTGTAGAACCCTTAACCCATCTTGGCCTTTTAGGTGTAGTGCGGAGACTAAAACAGAGTAATCCGGAAGTAGTTGTCACACGATGCTACACTCGGACGAGTTTCTCTTGAGAAAATTACTAATTACTGAGTAATCAAGACGTTGGTAATATCTGAAGGAGGAATGTAGACTATGGGAACCTTTAGAACCTTTTTTATAGATGTGATTAAACCTTTAGTACATACCTTGGGGGTGGGCTTTACCTTTGACTCTATTCTCGAAGATTTGAACCGTTGAACCCCAGGTTTGTGAATTTATGTGTAATTGTTGCATCATCATTCATTCATGCATCCATAAGAATTTTTGTAAAAATGTTTTTCAAGGAACTTAAGAATGATTTTTGCAGACATCTTAGGTACTGTTACTATGTATTTTGGAAAAAGAAACACTCGGAGTTATAGTTTCAAGGAGCCTGAGATTGAAGAGTTGAAGAGTTTGATTCCCAAGATTGAGAACCCTATGGAGTTTCGAAATAAATATGGATCTATTATCCCTCTCATGAAGCACAAGATGAAGGAAGGCATCCTTAATACGTTGGTCCAATTCTATGATCCATTGTATCGATGCTTCACTTTTCCTGATTACCAGTTAATGCCCAATTTGGAAGAGTATTCCTATATACTTGGTTTTCCAAACACCGACTGTGTTCCTTTCTATAGTTTAGAATGGGAAATTAAATCTCAAGAGATAGCAACAATCACCCACTTGAGGAAGTCTGAAATAGAAGAGAACATGACTACTAAGGGAGGAATCTGAGGCTTACCTGCATAGTTTTTATTGAAGAAAGCTCGTCACTTCACTGAGATAAAGGATATTGTCCCCTTTAAAGATGTATTTTCTTTACTTGCTTATTGTTCTTGTTCCCTAACGTCGATAATTTCGTGGATATCAACGCCATTAGAATCTTCTTGATTGGAAATTTGGTCCCTACGCTGCTAGGAGATACCTTGTATTCCATCCATCTTCGGAACTCCTACCAAGGTGGGATAATTATCTGTTATGCACCATTTCTATACCAGTGGTATGTTTCTCATTTACCTAGGCCTGATGTTTTCTGGGATCTCAAGAAAGAGCCACGATGGGCGCCAAAAATTATGGCTCTTACTCATTCCGACATAGATTGGTATAATCGAGCTTACTACGACGTGAAGATCATTGATAGTTGTGGTGTTTTTCCCAACCTTCCCCTTCTTGGTACGAGGGGAGGAATTAACTATAATCCTGTTTATGTGCACCGTCAGTTTGGATGCCTGATGAAGGACAAGCTGAATAACATTCATTTGAGTAGTTTCTTTCTACAAGAAGGAAAAGATCACAAAGCATCTAAAGAGGAGATTGAAAAGGCTTGGTTCCATATCCATAGAAATGGGAGAGACATGTTAGGGGAATAAAGGTTATGTTTCTTTGGAGCCTTACCTTCAATGGGTTCGTGCTAGGGCTTGTGCTGTTAAGATGCCTTATAATCCCGAGAAACCTTTATTCCCTGTTGCTACATCATCATCTTCTGCTATCCCTATTGAGAACATGAGAGAGTATCAGGAAAATATGGATAGAATGGAGTCTGAAATAGATTCTTGGAAGGAAAGGTATGGTATGTCTGAATACAAAAATAGGGTCCTGACTCGACAGCTGAAGGAGAAGGAGGATATGCTATTTATTCAAGATGGTTGGTTTATTGATCATGATGAGAAGCTTCGTCAAAAGGATGCATTACTCAATAAATATGCTAAGGAAAGGAAGAGAACGAAGGAAGATTTTGTAGGTGTTACTCATGTTCCTAATCCATGGAAGAAAGTCGTTGATCAACTGGTAGCTGAGAATACAAAGTTGGAAGACTTCTATGAAGAGAAGATTAGGAAGCTCAAGTTACAAGTAGAATTTGGTCCTTCGTCTGATGATGATTCTTAGTGATCTTTAGTTCCTAGTTTTTGTTACTTATGTCATTTTGTAAAACTCTCTGTAAGAGGGCTTTATGTTCAAAAGTTGTAATTTACTGCTTTTATTACTGGGTTTTTTGTCCCAAAGTTATAATTTACTGCTTTTTATTAATGAAATAAGTTTTTGTTGTTCCAAATTCCTTTACCATTGATGTGTGCAAAGTTATCAAAGTTCTAAATTTCTTTGAAAAACTATCAAAATAAATAATCATCTGCATCACATATCATGTATCATCCAACATTCAATTTCACATGTTTTCTAGAGTCTTATTCTTTCTTCTTTTTCCAATCCAATAGATCATCAAGCTATCTCACCGGTATAAAACTTGAGCCAATCGTCGAAAGAGAATGGAACATCTAGAGCAAGAAAATCATGATCTTCGTGAGGAGGTTACTACTCTTCCTACTGGGATGGAAAAGTTGACTGCTTTGGTGAAAAGCTTTTTGGTTGCTCAGAATCAGCCATCGACTACCGCCTTTGAGACTCAAGCTCAAACTATTGTGATTTATGAGATCGTCATTGCTCCAGCATCTTTGGCTCAAGTCAACTCTCTGCAACATCAAATTCCGAAAGGTTTCCCATCGGGTATGCCTTACAATTTCACGCCAGAAGGATACCAACCTGTTGTGCAACCCATGAATCAACCTGTTGTGTCATTTCCTTAACCTGAGATGACTACTGTGCAACTTGTGATCCAGCCTATGGTGTCTTTCCTTCAGCCTGTAATGACTACTGCCTCCCGTGGTTCACATTCTTCCATATACACATGAACCCATTTAGCATGCTGAACCGACTGAAAGTTTGGTCATCTTCGATAAGATGGAGGAGTTTGAAGACCAATTTCAGGAAATGCAGAGAGAAATTAGAGTACGTAAAGGGAAAGACGTGTTCGGGAAAAATGCTCATGACTTGTGTTTGGTCCCAAATGTGAAAATTCCAGCTAAGTTCAAAGTGTCGGACATTGAAAAATACAAAGGTAACTCATGTCTGCAAAGTCACTTAACCATGTATGTGAGGAACATGTCCACCTACTCTAATGATCACAAATTATTAATTCACTACTTCCAGGACAGCTTAATTGGTGCCACATTGAAATGATACATGGGTTTGGATAGCACCCAAATCCGCAACTTCAACGACCTCAGTGAAGCTTTTGTTCGTCAATACAAGTATAATGTTGACATGGCCCCGGACCGAGACCAACAACTCCTATCTATGTCCCAGATGGATAGGGAATCTTTTAAAGAGTATTCCCAAAGGTGGCGCGAGATTTCTGCTCAAATCTATCCTCCCCTCGAAGAAAAAGAGATGACGAAGATTTTTATGAAAATACTAGGTTTTTTCTACTATAAGAGAATGGTTGAGAGTGCGCCTAGCAAATTCACTGAGATGGTGAACATGGGCATGCGACTTGAAGAAGGAATTCATGAAGGGTGTCTA